AAGATTCAAACCACAAGAAACTTCAACGGAATTTTCATTCAAGAAATGTACCAAAACCTCATATTATCTATTCGATTTATCATCTCAAGATTCGTGAAAGTTCAAGTTGTGAAGATTTACAGGTTTGAAAGTCAGAAGTGATCGTGACAAGTTTAATTCTTCCTCCTCCTAACAAGTTTACAAGCTCAAATTGCAAGGTTACATTTTAAGCTCAACGTCAAGATTATGATACGACTCACGATCCATTCAAGGCATAATCAAAAGGAGTTTTACTTCAAGTTTAATTAAAGGAACATTTGACATAAGGACTCAAGGTGTACTAGTTTAGTTTCGAGGTTCATGTTTCGCATCAAGGCGAAGATGTCAAGGTTCAAACCAAGGCAAAGTGCAAAAATTTGAATGTCGAACATCTATTCAAGATGCAATTCTATTATCTCAAAACAAGATACAATGTTTTATTCAAGCAATTAAAACTAAGGGATTTAAATTCATGTTACAAGGTCCAAATTCATTCCAAAATACAAAGAGAAAGTCTTGTTTCATTCAGGGTTCACAAGTTATGTCCAAAAGAGAAGAGCTAGTTATGAATGCAAAATATTCATTCAAACCCAAATATAACACAATGACCACATTTCATACCTATTCAAATAATTTATTACAAGATTCAAGAGGAAGGCATCATGCTGGTAGCCAAATTTCCAAACTTAAAGGAGGTTGCTGGACACAATAAAACCTTCGTGTACAAATTTCAAGATCCATTTATTCTTTACAAAATTAATCCCAAAATTAAAGCTCAAATATTCATAACTAATTTCAAAAGTCCCTATTGTATCTACAAACATTTATAAAAGCTAATGAAAAATTGATGAGAAACTAAGTGGTCTTCAAATTCTTCTGGTTACCTACGGTTTGTCTTCATTTGGATCAAATATGGATGAGAAAGACAATGCGTTTTTCTCTTCCACTGATGTTAAAGGAAGCTTTCCTGTTATCTTGCTGGAACAACATGTCATGCATTGAGCAATGGATTACATACTGCATAATACTACATATTACTACACGATTCTTTTTTTAGTTATAAATGGAATATGTGGTGAATTATTGAGTTTTAGAACACTATTGTTACACCTGTTGATGTATTGGTAGTAGAGTTTGCTCCAAAGCTACAAAGCGACATTGAAATGTCCCGCAACATCTTGATAAAGCTGCAAACAAAGTTACACCAGAATTTTAGCGCAGAAGATTCGATAAAGGTCGGAGAACAACTACAAAAGGAAATAAAAATGAAATTTCAAACTCAAGTTCATATCCCAAAGCATAATCATGCAAGCTCGTTCTTTTTCTTCAAAACAATATCAAATGAAAGTCTTCATTCAAATAATACCAAACAAGATTTTATCATATTCATGATTGATTCAATGTCGATCTGAAATAACACATAACATGTTGAGGCGAAAAAGGAAGAAAATCCGAACGTGTCGGAATGTGTTTGATACAAGACAGAAGCACATTCATCACAGTAAATTAAGTTTTCCAAACAAGAAGACGAGTTAAATTTCTTTCTAAAACAGAAAACCGGAGAGCAATCTTTCACTTTCAATTGCGAAATCGAAGATTTTAAATACATGGCGTATAAAAGAAAAGGAAACATGGTTAAGAGAGGAGGGAGAATAATAGTGAGCCACAAAAAACACACATACAAAAATGTTTTTGCAAAAATAGAACAAGATTCATAGAAAATGGAGAGGAGAAGAGATGTAGGAAGATTTTGAGTAAATTAGCACACAAATGTTAGAAGCAATATAAAGAAGAAGGAGATTTAGGAAAACTTATCTTGAATTTGGCTGGTGTCGTCGAATCGTTGTAGAACAAGCAAAATCACTTCGCAAGACCCTCGTCGCTGCGAACCACCGCCGCCTACCCATTGCAGTAATCTTATTTTATCAATTTGTTAGATCTTTGAATTTTATTGCTTTTTACAGGTTGCAAATTCAAGATAAAGGAAAGGGAAAGAAGGGAAAGATCGAGAGTGAGAAGAAGAGTTTGAGGAAGAAGAGACGAAGATAAAAGAAGAGAAGGAGGGGCAGTTCTATTTGGATATAGGGTTTCGGACCCCTCTTTCCTTTCTTTCTCAAATTTGTGGTTGGTGGGTCGGGTCCGGTCTATTGACCACCACCGGCCCATTGTTTCTTGTTTTTTTAATTTATTTTTATTTTTGTACAATTGGGCTGGGCCTAGTTTTTTTGTTTTTTAAAATAAGGAATCATAAATATAATAAAAACATAAAATAATAAATAATAAATAATAATAAAAATAAATTAATATAATAAATATAAATAAGAATTTTAAGAATTTTAAAAAAAAAATAATTTAGAACTTTTAAGAATTTAGTAATATTTTTATAAATTAGATTATTTTTAGTTTTTAGTTTTTAGTTTTTAATTCATAGTTTCATTAATTTTCATAATCATAACTTTAGCAAATAATATAAAAAATACAAATAAAAACAAATTAAAGATATTTAGATGTTCTTGTTATTAGAGAATCTAGCTCTTACCCGTTATCCTAGCCTTAGTATTTGAGTCGTCGTACTCACGCATAACGTCCTGCCATGGACACTCTTTTACAAATCGATCCTAGTCTTAGGACCAGGAGTCGCCGTACTCCATGTAAGTTCTCGCCGTGGATACTTACTTACCATCTTTTTCAATCAATCATGAACGTGGATTTGGAGTCGCTGCACTCCATGTAAGTGTCTCACTATGAACATTTACTTCCCCCTAGAACCTTGACCACAGTCAAGAAGTTCCCCACTCCTCTTTAAGGGGAACTACAAACACTCTGATTTCTCGATGAGAATACGTAGGCGCAAGATGCAGCATCTTGGCGAGCTCACTCACAGTTAACCTCCTGTTACCATTTTCAACTTGGGATTGGAGTCGGCGTGCTCCAGATAGCGTCCTGCCGTGAGCATCTTCTTTAGTACCCTTCATCCTAGCCTTAGGATCAGAAGTCGTCGTGCTCCATGTAAGTTCCCACCGTGGATACTTGTCTACCTTTTCAACTAAACCTTTCAATGTAGATTTGGAGTCGCCGCACTCCACGTAAGTATTTCATTATGAATATTTACTTTCCCCTGGAACCTTGACCACAGTCAAGAAGTTCCTCTCCTCTTTGAGGGGAACTACGATGCTTTGATTTCTCAATGAGAATATGTTGGCACAATATGTGATGTCTTGACGAGCTCACTAACAACTAAATTCCTGTTAACATTTTCAATTTATGATTATAGTCTTCGTACTCCTTATTTAGTTCCCTCCGTGGACACCCTTCACCTTCATCCTAGCCTTAGGATCAGGAGTCGCCGTACTCCGTGTAAGTTCCCGACGTGGATACTTGCTTACCTACCTTACAACTTTTCAACTTAGACTTAGATCACCGCACTCCACGTAAGTGTCTCTTTATGAACACTTACTTCCCCCTGGAACCTTGACCACAGTCATGAAGTTCCTCACTCCTCTTTGCGGGGAACTACGAATACTCTGATTCCATTCTTGTCAGGATACGTAGGTATAACATGTGATTTCTTGGCGAGTATACTTAGGTCTAACCCCTTAGGTCCCTCTCTTTACCTTCAACCCTTTAGCAGATAACAGATATAACAATAACACATATCAAACAAGAGGTTCCTGTAGAGTACTACAAATACTTAGGATGCTAGCACCTTCCCTAAGTATAACCAACCCCCGAACCCTAGATCTCCCCGCATTATGTTTACGATGGAAATTAGGTTTTTCTTTCTTTAACCTTTCTTTCGAATAAATCAAAGACCGGTTGTGAATTCAAGATTTGTGATTCAAATTAATCAATAATTTGACATCCTATTCTCACTGCAAAAATATCAAAGATAAGCTTCTCTTTCCTTAGTTTGACTAGGATTTATTGTCCCCTCACAACTGGGTTCGAACATGATATTGGATCAGAAATTCAAAAGGCCACCTCCTTAGCATTAGCCCACACAACAAAGGAATAATTAGGCCTAAGGCCGCACCCTCATCTAAATCCATCGTCTGGCCCACAAAGCCCTTGGGGTCCATCACCACCAATGTTGATTTACCGCCACAAGCTGGATTAGACATGAATCTGAGCTTTTCATCATTGCCTCAATCCTCTACATCACTATGTAAAAACAGTTTTTTAGAATGACCAACATGTTTTACACATGTAGCCGCAATATCAGATAAAGTCCTTCTGCTATTTTCCAAAATAACCTTTTCCCTAACACCTATTTGTCTTCCCTCGTACTCGGGAACCACATCTTTAGAGGACTTATGATGGCCTTCCCTAAAAAAATAGTTTTTTATTCCCCCTTCCTCTTCCTCCTCTGAGCTTTTCCATTCATCACTATCACTATCTGAGCTTTCAATCTCCGATGACCTGCTCACTTTAATCGAATTCACCTTGCCAAGCCTTAATGGCCCATGTCCATCTTCTTACAATTTAATTCTATAAATGTTTCCACTTACTTCAATATTGAAAACTTCATCCAGGTTAATCGCAAACTTGGTTTTAACGAGGAATCTTGCAACATCCAAACACACATGATTTTTCGTACTGTCATTCAAAGTAATATATTCACCAATTCTTCTAGCAACAAAGTTAAAGAACTTTGAGCATCAAACATGGCAGGGAAGCCCATAACATCGTATCCAGGTGAGTCTCTCATTGTCCACGTCTTTTGGCGACCACAGACAAATGTTAGAGAACCACCGGGATACCCATGTCTTCTTCTTAGCCAATGTTGCTAACTCTCTAGACACCTCTTCTTCTAGAAAACATACATTAGCCCCCAACAGAGTAACTTTAATACGAAAGGTACCTTCCTCATGAAGAGTCTGTTGTATCTTATATGTCGACCCTGATATTTCCACCACCCCGAGGAAAACCTTTTCGAATCTAGTAAGTTTAGACTTTTTCATGTTGAATTGCAAGTGTGCAAATCACGGTTTTTCACCCAGCCAGTCTCTAGTGTTCCTTACAATACTTCTTTTCACTTCTTGCATGTTGGCTTGTCCAACTCCCAAGACCTGAGTGTAGGAAGGTTTTGTCTTACCGTGATACACCATCTTTGCACCAGCCTGTATAGTGAAATCAATAGCCCACTTATTATTCTTCTGATTCAACTCATTTTTTACTCCCTCCTCATTGCCAAGACTTCCCCTATGGAGTTTGAGTATATTCCCATAAATCTTGCGCTCTCTAATCATAATGATGTCTAGCTTGATCGCTAATAGTCGGATGTCTTCAACATTCTTGAATCTCACGAAACCAAACCGTTTGCCACATTTATCTCCTTTCGGTGGGATGGCCACCTCAAGAACAAGACCATATTGTTTGAAAACCTCAAACATATCTGTTGCTTCAAAGCTTTATGGGAATTCTGTGGAAAAAAAAGGAGGAGATGTTTCTATCCTCAAGATCACTTTCTTTACCATGTAGTCTAAATAGAGCGTCTAGTCACATCATTGTCAGCTTCCGTCTTGTGTCTAACCTCCACCCATCTAACTTCGTGATGCATTTGTGTCCTTTGTTGCATAGCTTAATATTGAATATTTTTTCCATTTAACTTATGCTACATGTCACCATGAAGTTTATTTTTTACCTCCAGAAGTAGTTTTACTACTCTCAATTGATTAATAATTTTTAGTTAACAATCAAAATACATTAATTAATATAAATTTATATTAAAAATCAAAATACTTTAATTAATATAAGTTTATATAACCCTTTTTAATGGGGCAGAACGTCTTAAATTTATAACACAAATTTTAATTTATTTTATTTTTATTTATTATTGAAGCAATAAATAATATTTATTTAATTTTGAACTGTAGTTAAGTAGTCATTTTTTAATTTTCTTCTTCTTTATTTGTTTCAATTTCATTTTGATTGAATTGATCAAGTATTGGAATTAATAGTACTATTTGACAATGAAAAATGAAAGTGTTTAGAAACTGTAAATGACTAATATAATAATTTTAAAGAATATAACTAATATGCCGATTGAAATATTTTTTGTTTTTGTTTTATTAAATTATATTTTGCATATTTTTTTATATGTTTCAATCTTTGTTTTTGTTTTATTAAATTATATTTTATATGTTTTTTTATATGTTTCAATATGATTTCAATTTGATTTATCAACTATTGGAATTAATAGTAGTATTTGATAATGAAAATTATAAGTTTCTAAATGACTAATATAATAAATTCTTACATATGCACCAGTCAATAAAACTAGATGAATTTGACATAAAACCATTGAACCACCAAAGGCAAAAAGATAAAACTAACATTTATTTGATACAAGTTAAAATCTAAATGTCATACGCGAATGTCAATATGAGTGAAATCGCTTCGAAAATGAACTTTCGTAGCATACGTCTTCTCACAATAAATTTCTTCAGCTTCGAGTTTATCTTTTAATTTTTTCATATGTTTCAAGTTTGTTTCAGAAAATTCAAATGGTGCCTATGTCATTTTTTTAAATTGATTGAGCTCTTTTTATACAAGGAGTCATTTTTCATCAGTTAGGGTATTTATGATATTTTTTTTATTCATTTTGTAAAATGAAAGTAGAATAATTACAAAAGTTATTAACCTAAGTACGATTGCGAACACCGTTTCATATCTCTCTGAATATTGTCCAAAGAATGATCTTCTTAACAACTCAATATTTAAGAAACTTGTTTGAGATATCTTATTTGATTTCATCTTCGTCATCTTTAATGTCCTCATTTTTATTAGATCTAATTTGAGGTTCATTGTCCTTGACAAAGTCTTTCATGATTATTTTTGAAAAATCAATACTAAAAGAAATACATTTTCCCAGCTCATGGAATTTAGTTTTATGAAAAACTATATATGTGTTGTTTCTTCAAGAATATAAGTTCTATCATTGAAAATTCTATAGACTTACTGGATATAGAATACGCAAAAAAGAAGAAGATTTTCTCATCAATTTTAACATAAAACTCATCCAGTTTGTACTTAGAGTTATTTTAAATGAAGTGTTTGTATTCAAAAACGCAAAAATAAAAAATATTTATATTTTTATATTTAAATAATTCATATGAGGTCTTCTCTAGAATAGGTCTAATGACCACTTTTTCTATGACATGATATGCAGTGTTAATTGTATTTGTGCCAAAGTATTTAAGTAGACTCTACTCACTTATCATAATTCATTCTAATTACTCTAAAACAGGATTTTTATACCTTACACACAATTTTGTTCTAGAGTTCGCATATATGAGAAGTTGTGGGTTATACAATTTTTATCAAAAAAATCTTCAAGTTGATGATTAAAAAATTTACCACCACGATCACTTTTTAAAGTTGTTATTTTCAAATTGAATTCGTTTTTGACAAGCTTGGCAAATCTAACAAAATTTTAAAAAATTTATTCCTTTTGAGTTAAGAATAAAGTTCAAGTAAATATAGTGAAGGCGTCTGTTGGAGATTGTGGTTGTTTGAAATATGTAGCAACACTTGAACAAAGAAGGTGCTGATGAAGATTGCATTTGAAAAATCAAAGCATGTGAATTTCACACTAACCTTTAGGTTCAATTCGCCCCTGCCAATTATTATATTTTGGATGCAATTAGGATTAACGACGAATTCCCTTCAGAATACTTTGAATACCTTAATATGAATTGCACAAACACACTAAGCTTATTTTATAATAATAGTTTATAGAAAATTGTTTTCTATACTTTACTCATGCATTAATGAAGTAAGAAATGATTTTAGAATAATTGAAATGGTAAAAAATAGATGTGAATATTTCTATTTTCGTGTGTATTTTCTGATTTCCAAGTGCCTCTATTTATAAAAAAAATTAAGCCATTTGATGAAGAGCATTACCATTTGAGGAATAATTTATGCATCTGTATAAGAAATTTGTTGGATCAGTTGGTAAAGTTGCTTCAGATATTTTGGAATATATATATATATATATATATATATATATATATATATATATATATATATATATATATATATATATATATATATATATATATATATATATATATATATATATATATATATATATATATATATATATATATATATATATATATATATATATATATATATATATATATATATATATATATATATATATATATATATATATATATATATATATATATATATATATATATATATATATATATATATATATATTGGAAATGCTTGCACAATATTTTGAAAATCATCTAAAATTCCCCACCATTTACAAAATATAACTAAATCTCATATTTCTGGAAAGCTCATGGTTTCAGATAATGGTATCTTATGATTTGAATCATTACTTAGTAAATTAAGTTTTCACTCATCCCTGAATAGATTGATAGACAAGCTTTGGACCAATTATTTATTAGAACAAGTGTGCGTAACCCACACATGAAATCTCAGTACTATCAAAAGAATTATAACATTGACACATTTAATATGGTCTTGTGTCATGTACCCTTTTCACAAGAATTTAAGAGTAAAACCTTTTAACTCAATGAAGCGGCCTCACTTCATTCTCGTATAGGTAGACTATATCAGAAGTGCACTCATAATTATGCATTTCATCAAAAAAAATTGTATGTGTCCACCAAGAGTTAAACTCAACCTTCCATCTTTTACTTATGTTCACCATTGAACTCAATACTTAATTTTAACTAAGTGTGAGTTGAGTTTCCACTATTGGTGATCAACTTAATATGGGCTTTAGACCCATCCAAAATAATGTCTTCAACACCATGTCTTTTGTCAGACATTTCCTCAAAGGATCTGCAAGATTATTTTCTGTTCTTACGAACACAATGGAAATTACTCCATTTGAAATTAAATCCTTCACATAGCTATGTCATATACCAATATGTCTAGATTTTCCATTATATACTTGGCTATATACTTTTGATAGTCTGGACTGACTATCGCAATGTATGGATACAGGTGTCATTGGCTTTGGCTAAATAGGTATCTCATACAATAAATTTCTTAACCATTCAACATCTTTACTCCTGGAAGCTAGAGCAACAAATTCTACAGCCATGGTGGATTCAACAATGCAAGTTTGTTTTTTAGAACTCCAAGAAACTGCACCTCTACTGTGATTGATGATCCATCCACTAGTAGAGGTATGATCTTTTATATATGTTACCCAACTTGCATATGTATATCCCTCTAAAACTGAAGGATATCCACTAAGTTAAACTATAGTTAAATGTCCCTTTAGTGTATTTTAATACTCTATTAACATCATGTCAATGGTCTTTACTTGGATTACTTGCATACCGACTTAACCTATCAACGACATATGCAATATCAGGTTTAGTACAAGTCATATTGTACATCAAGCATCTGATTACCTTTTAATATTCGAGTTGTGCCACTGGACACTCTTTATGTGACTGCAAATTAACATTTTGATCAAATGGGGTAGAAAATGGTTTACAATTAAAGTGATCAAATTTATTAAGCATCTTTTTTATGTAGTGAGATTGGGATAAACCAATATTTGCACCATATTTTATGATTTTAATTCCTAAAAGTACATCTACTTCACCAAAGTCTTTCATATAAAAAAATTTGGATAAGAAAGTTTTAGTCTTTTCTACCTCATTTAAATCACTGCCAAATATTAACATATCATCCACATATAAACAAATCATGACACTTTTTCCATTGCTAAATTTACTATAAATATATTTGTCAGATTCATTTATTTTTTATACATTGGTTAACACAACATGGTCAAATTTTCGGTGTCATTGTTTGGGTGCTTGATTTAACCCATACAAATACATGGTTAATTTACACACTTTATGTTCTTGAACTTTGATGACAAATCCTTCAGGTTGTTTCATATACACCTCTTCATCTAACTCTACATTTAGAAAAGAAGTTTTAACATCCATTTGATGGATTACAAGCTTATAGATGGAAGCAAGTTCCAAAATCACTCTAATTGACGCAATTCTAGCAACATATACATACATATCAAAGTAATTAATACCTTGTTTTTGTGTATACCCTTTAGTGACAAGTCTAGCTTTGAAATTTTCAATGGTACCATTGGCTTCCATTTTTCTTTTAAAGATCCATTTACAACCTATTGGTTTTGATCCTGGTAGGAGATCTACTAGGTTTTATTACCTATAATTAAGTCCATTTCTTCTTGGATAGCTTCTTTATAAAAGGTAGAATCTTGAGATTTTATTGCCTCTTCAAATGTTTCTCGATCATTCTCTAGGTTATAGAAAATTGGTCCATAATGATTTATCGAATCATTATTTCTTTCTACAAGGAACATGAAGAAGTCTGATCCGTAGTTTTTCACTTTTCGGATTCT